ATAGGAAGGATGTTAAGGCATTAGAAAGGGTACAGAGGAGATTTACGAGGATGGTACCAGGAATAAGGGACCTTGATTATGAGGAAAGAGAGGCGAGGATTATTCTCATGGGAGCAGAGAAGGTTACGAGGAGACCTCATAGAGGTCTTCAAAATCATGAGGGGATTTGATAGGTTAGAAAGGGATAAACTGTCTCCACTGGTGGGTGTGTCGGTGACTCAAGGTCACAGATTCAAAACAGTCTCTAAAAGAAGCCGAGGGGAGGTAAGAAGAAATTTTTTCACGCAGCGAGTTGTTCGAATCTGGAACACATTGCCTGAAAGGGCGGTGGAGGCCGATTCGATAACTACTTTTAAAAACGCGGTGAACGGGTTTGCAGAGTTATGGGGAAAGGGCTGGGGAGTGGGACTGACATTAATTGCTCTATTCAAAGAGCCGGCACAGACTCAATGGACCGAATGGTCTCTTTTTGTACGATTCTATGATTCTATGATCTAAGACGTGTCAAAGCGCTCACAGATGTACTGTGAAGCAAATTGACTGGGTATTTTGTGAGCAAAATGCAACCGCCAGTTTGCACACAGCAGTGTCCCATAAATAACCATGGAGTGAATGACCAATTTTTTGGGGGCGGTTGTTGACCAGGACACCAGGAGAAACTCGCTTCTCGTTTCGAATAATACCATGGGATCTTTAACATACATCTGAACAGGCAGATGGGATGTTAGTTTAACGTCTCATCTGAAGGACAGAAAAGATCCAAACGTGAGACTTTTGAAGGTTAAAGCTCATAGAATTAAAGACACAAGTAGTTGGTTAGCCTGAAATCTGACTCAGAAACGGAAACCACAATAATCATTGGAAAGAGTTATCTTAGAGCATTGACCAGAAAAGTTCTGTAAAGACTTCTCCTGTCTTCCATGTTGTTCAAGCTGTTAATAAATGACTGGAAGGAGAGCACTTCTGGTAACATACAATAATAATCCTTGCATTTGATATAGCACCCTATCACAATGTTGAGACATCTTAATTGACTGTATTTTATGGGCAAAATGTGGCAGCCAACAGCAGTGTCCCACTAACAGTCATGGATTGAGTGACCACATTATGTATTTATTTTGAGGAGATTATTACCCCCAGAATGCAATCCGCCGATTGACTAACAACCGGGTTCCAACTTACTGCTCGGTAAACAGAGTACCTAGTAAGGAAAATGCCTAAGGTTTTGGCGAGTGCTCTAATTAATAGGCTACAAGACAAAACATCTGCTTCCTGGTTCTGGTTCATTTGAGTTTTTTTTGTTAAAGTTTCCAATTACATTCAGCCTGAAGCTCTGAGGTATGAGCCAAAGGTTCATATGACTTTAAATTTAATTCAAATGACATTTCATACATGCCTTCTGTGTAGCTATAGCTTTAGAATAGTCAGCTGTTGGACACTAATTGGTTTAATGCAAGTAAACGTTAGACATCTCTGATACTTAACACACTATTTAGCACCACAGTGATGGAACGAGGAACAAAGTTTTCCCCGAACGATGGAAATTGTGTGTGATTTACTCAGCAAATGTCCGTAGCTTGCCAACGTTAAATTGGCTTCACATAAAAATCTGTTTCTGATTAGTCTATCGGAATAACATAGACAATTCACTTTTGCCAGTGAGGCAAATGATTTGCCCTTTTCTCACAACTTTCTCTTCATTACAACAACTTGCATTTACATAACAACAACAAGATTACATTTGTATAGTGCATTTCGCATTGGGAGGACGTCCCATCACCCAGGATAAGCGCCCAATGGGCCCAGGTTCAATTCCCAGGCAGGGCGAAAACTTGGGTAAGTTTTCTTACTCCGCTCACCTCTATTTATCTCACAATAAGTAGGAACCTGGTTGCTATTTGATTGGCGGGTCGCTTTTCTAGAGTAATAATTCCTCCCCCCCAAAAAAAAAATTTGATCACTCAATCCACGACTGTTTGTGGTACATTGCTGTGTGCAATTGTGTGTCACATTTCGCCCATAAAATATACAGTCAATTCACCTTACAGTATATTCTGTGAAGTGCTTTGAAACGTTTTAATGACATGATAAGGTACTAAACATAATGCAAGGATTATTACTACAGTGTAAACCCAACCCGTTTTAGCAGGAAAAACATTTTGCCTTAAGATTTAGGATTGAGCATCATTGTGAGACGTTCTTAAATCCATCTTGATTTGCGGGAGCCTCTTTAAGCCAAATGGATGGAAGCCAAAACAAAGCAGATTCAAGTTAATTCCATCACAGAAGTATTTTTATAAGGGTGGTACAAGTCGAAACTAGTTCCATTTCAGTGGAATGAAGAACATCTTGGCTGCCATTGAGTTGTCCCACTTCAATGAATCAACATCTTGCTTTGACCTTGAAATGTAAAGCCCTTGCCCAACACCCATGGTAAGCAAAGCAAATTGTTTAATAATAATAATCCTTGCATTTGATACAGCGCTTTATCACGTCTTCGAAATTCACTTTGAGACAATCTTACATGTCAGTGAGAGGGTGTTCCCATCCTTGGGAGAGATTACATTTTCCAGAACTGGCCAATAGGATATCTGCTTCTCAGCTCTTTGATTTCACAGTAGATCTCATTTTGCCGGATACCTGACTGACTAAAGAAACCACACTACGTTTGCAATGTGATTACTCAGTGTCAGCATTTTGTTTCTTTGTTGCTCGTTACTCTCCGGGGAGCAGGGAGTCATCCAACTCAGCTCTCGTTCAGCCTACAAGCCATAACGTCAATGGGTAGAGTGGTGCTAGTTGCACTAGTAGCAGGAAAGCTTGCCAGACAGTGAAACCAATGGCAATCTATGTGGCTTTAGTTGGTTAGACTCCAGCAGTTACCCCAACACACACTCAGAGGTTCTCAAGTCTTAGCTCTTGCCAACCTGCCCCTAATACTTGCCGGAATTAAGACAGCAAGATGCATTCCTCCAGGGAGAGAGAGCGTATTCCATTACAACAATCTGTCTCTGGGATTTCCATGTGTAGGAGGGAGGCGTGGAATTCTCAGCTTGGTTTGGATACTCTGAAGTATTGCGATGGGATTCCGCGCGTGTCAGATACCCGGCAAACCCAAAAAATAAAATGGTTCCCCAGATCTCTTTTGCTGTGTAAGCAACTTCCTTGTCCCCACTAGGCCCCACTCGTGACTATCTATTGCTGAGAGAGCAGGGTACATTTACTGGGACGTTCCCTGAGATGAATGGATATCGTACTATCTTCCAGGGGTTGGGAGAGGGGTGGGAGGAGAGAGCTGAACTGGCTTGAAGGTGACATGGTGACTAATAATAATATTCCTTGCATTTGATAAAATCCTTATCACGTTGTCAAGATGTCTCAAAGAGCTTCAAAGGATTTTGCCGTGCAATGTAGTGGCTTCGTATTTACAGCCCACAAAGAGCCTCGAAGCAAATGATAAATTTACTTGGGGAAATATCGGAATTGAGTCAGTCGTCTGTAAGCGTCTCTTAAACAGTCTGGTATCTAAGGAAGTTGGATCTACAGTACCTCAGGGTACTGCTGATGACAGACTAAGCAACTTATATAGGCGTTAAACAAAAAAAATATTATTGTCCAACATAAATATGGTTTGGATAAGTATGGTAATTGTCAGGAATCTTCCCAATGGCTCGCTATGTGGGTTTAGCTGGTTAAAGCTCAGCACTCCCCAATACAAAAACAACAAATTGCGTTTGTATAGCACTTTTCTTGTTGGGAGCACGACCCAAGGCACTGCTCACTCCAAGGTCCCTAAACATTGCCTCGCCATGCAACGGAGTCCTGTAGCCTATTGGTTACACCACTCCCCTCGCAGTCGAGAGGACCCGCTTTCCAGGTGGAGAAAAACCTTAGGCAAGTTTCCTTACTCCACACTCCTCCGTTTACCTAGCAGTAAGTAGGAATCCAGTTGTTAGTCAATTGGCGGATCTCTTTCCAGGGGTAATCCACGCTTATTCCAAAAAAAAAAGAATAATTTGGTCACTCAATCCATGACTATTTGTGGGACACTGCTGTGCACAATTGGCTGCTGTGTTTCGCCACTTGAGTTGACTGTGGGCAAAACACAGCAGCCAATTGCAGTAATTCTGTGAAGCACTTTGAGACCTTTCAATGTCATGATACGATGCTATATAGAATGCAAGGATTATTATTGCTATTATTATTATTGTTACAATATAAGGCAGAGCAGGATGTATCTACCAACAAACAAAACCATTAAGTACTGTACCTATAATCTTCCCCGTTCTGACTCCTGACTGACGAACAAAAACAATTGTATTTTAATGTAATTCCTCTTGATCAGTGTCGATGATGAGTAACTCACACTGGAGACCAGGGGTGGATCCAAGAGAGGGGGGAGGAAGGGACCCCCAAGACCAAAGTATTTATTGTCATTTAAAGCTGTTTTTCTCCGACATAAAACTTTTATGAGTTTCATGATCTTTGATCATGTTTATAATAATAATAATCCTTGCATTTGATATAGTGCTTTATTCCGTCTTCAAGATGTCTCAAAGTGCTTCACAGAATAAATACACTGTAAAGTGAATTGACTCTATTTTTAAATGTACAGTAAATATGTTTAAAGTTCAATAGAACTGCAGAAATAAAATCCCAACACCTACCCTTTAGCAGCACAAAATTACACAATGAATGCCTTTCATGTTGGAAGGACATTGTCCTTAAGTATAACAACAAATTACAAACAATTACATTTTATTGTGGGAGGACGAACAGGACAGCATGATGAAATGTTAAGCTTGTTAAAAAAAGAGAGATTTTTCTCTCTGGGTCTTTACCAAGTTCAACATTTCTTGTTGCTTGGACTTGCCGCTGCTTGAAAACTGCTCCCCTCAGCGGTTTGGCTGAGATGCATCTTTTGTGTGTGTGGTGGAGGGAGGAAGGGAGGGAGGGAGGAAGGAGGAGGGAGGGAGGGGAGGGAGGTGCGTGGTGTGGAGGGAGGTGTGTGGTGAGGCAAGTGGGCTGGGTGATGGTCTCTGCATGTGTCAAGCACTGGAGTAGCTAATCTTTGAATCATTCAGTAGCCCCAGGGTTGCCAGTTGCTATGGCTTTGTGGGGCGGAGGCATACCTGACTCACAGGCACGCATTTGATGCAGACTCTCTGTATCCAGGTGAGTACAAACCCCACCTTCGGGAGGGTTGTATTTGCTTCCATTACACCTGCAGCTTCAGTCCTCTCAGACAGACCCAGAGTGTGCAGGACATATCAAAGCATCAGTGTGTATCCTCCAGTCGGGAAAAGCAGAGCAGCTACCTCTCCTGGGGTGCGAAGATACGGCGCACAAGTTTTCTGCAGGAATTAATTCAGACAACGGAGAGAGCGAGAGAGCGTGGGGGACATGACTTGGATTACAGGGAGAGGACTCATCCTCCTCGTTCTTGTGATGGTGAGAAACTGCTTTGCAATTGCAAAACAAATTGAAATATTAGCATCTATGTTTGCCTTTAAAATGTTTCCTTTTCCTCAGGTAACTGCTTTTGTCATCATTAACATCATAATCCGTGCTTTTTATGTAGCCCCTAATGCCTCATCACGTTGTCAAGATGTCTCAAAGCGCTTCGCAGGATATATTGTAGAATAATAGGCTCCATATTTTGTTTGGCCGAAACATGGCAACCAGTTAGCGCACAGCAGTGTCCCATAAACAGTCGTGGATTGAAGTGACCAATTAATAATTTTTTTTATTGAGGGATTATTATCAGGCATGCGGAATAAGGAAACTTGCACAAGATTTTGCCCTGCCGGGACTCGGATCCAGGTCTCTCACGTGTGAAGCGAGTGCTCTAAATACCGAGCTACAGGACTCCACAGAATTGAATAAAAATCTTAAAAATGCGGTTAAATATATTTACAGTTGATCTGATCCAGTGAGTCACACAAAGACAAGGGAGGGTTGAAACTGCTGTAGTAATAATAATAATATATATGACTAATGCACTTGAACTTTTTCTCTTTCAAAAACAAATTAGATAGATTTCTGTTCGTAAATAATATCTCAGGATACAATATGTAGTTTGGGATATGACTGGCAGGATGGTGAATTAAATGGACCTTGGTCTTTCTTCGCCTAGCCAATTCTTATGTTCTTATGAACATGCATCAAAGTTTGCCAAATAATGTTGGACAGAAAGTGGACGATATTTTGTTTCAGGTGTTGGCAGGTGTTTACCTTTACATAGATTCCATAGAATTGGTCAACACTTTTAATTTAAGAGTTGGATTGGACATTTCACAGAGAATCTTGTTTTTGGAGCTCATGCAGAATGCTGCATGACTGAAACACAGAGTTAGTTGAGATTTTTACTTTTCTGGTTCGAAGGTTAGGTCAATTTTTGAGTGTAGTGTTTGAATGGATGAGACTTTCTCTGCTTTTCTGGTTAAGTATGTGTTCCATTTGGTACCTGAAAAGTGCAGAATATTAATGCAATACTATCACCTTATAATAATAATAATAATCTTTGCATTTGATACAGTGCCTTATCACATCATCAAAATCTCACAAGGCACTTCCCAGGATTCATTGTACAATGGAGTGACTGTGTATTTTGTTGGCAGATATGGCATCCAATTGCGCACATGAATGTCCCACAAACAGCTAGTGATCAGTTTTATTTGGTGGGATTGTTGGCCAGAACGTTAACATCTCAACTGAAGGATCTAGCATTTGAATAAGAACAGAATGCAAACTTGTTTAAAGTGATGAGACTTTCTCTGCATTCCTGGTAAAATGTATGTTGGAGCGCAGAATAATATTCTCTCATTTGATGATATCAGGGATCTAACCAGCCAGATAGATTTATCTTATTCCAGGTAAGATAATCCAGCCAAACCAAGTTAACAGATAGCATATTATTTATATTCTGAGAAAAAGTACGAAAAGAAACAAGTAGTAACATGCAAGTAGTTTTGTCATCAATATATAAATTATTCAGCTTTGCTTCAGAAATGTAACAGGATACTGTAGAATAAGTCTGGTTTTGTGGTTCCTTCAAAGGATCTGGTAAATCTTTTTAAAGGCCGTTTAAAACTGTAGCCTTGCACTGCCCAAAAAATTAACACAGCCAAAAACTACTGTTAATTTCGAAGGTGCAATAGAGACATCATAACATCAGTAGAGAGCAACTCTCTCCCATTACCCACTATCTTCACCAAAGATTTACAACAATTATACCAGGGTTTAAAGATTAATTATGAGGACATGTTGGATAAACTTGAATCTGTATTCCCTTGGGTTTAGAAAATCGAGGAATGATCCGATTGAGGTGTTTAAAATAATAAAGGGATTCAATTGGGTAGCTACAGAACATAAGAACATAAGAAATGCTAGACGAAAAAGGACCAAGGTAAATTTAGTTCACCTTCCACCTTCCTGGCGTTTGCATGCACAGATATCCCAAACTACCTATGTACTATATCCCATAACATTATTTTCTTAAAGAAAACTATCTAATCTGTGTTTGAAGGAATCAACATTTCCTGCTTTAACTGTCTGCCTAGGGAGCCTGTTCCACAGGTTCACTATTTGCTTACTGTAAAGGGAGTTGAGCTCAGATCAGCCGTGATCTAATAGAATTGCGGAACAGGCTCGAAGGGCTGAATGACCTACTCCAGTTCCTATGTTTCTATCTGAGCTTGGTTCAGTCAGATAAGATGGGAATTGAACCCAGATGCTCCTGCTTGCGAGGCGAGTGCTCTAACCACTACTCTATAGGACTCCACAATTTAGTTTGATACAATTGGCAGCTAAATTGGCTGTAGAAAGGCAGAAACCATTCTCCCACAGTTGGAGGAGGGAAGGAGGAATGTTTAGTTGCAAAAATCACAATTGACGTACCAACCCTTCCTGTATGGTTACTTATAATTACAGAAATGAATGTGCTTGCTGTAAACTACAGCTTCGGACTTGTTGTGGCAATATGTCTTTCTTTCCTTACATCAGTTTTAGTTGTGCTTCTCATGCAGAGTAGGGTCCCAGAGCGCTTAACAGTGGCGGAGAACGATGCCGAGCCAAGGGAAGCTGGGAGATTGTAGGCACGGTTGAAGAGAAAGGTTTTCAGGTGTGACCTGAAGATAGGGAAGGAAGGACCAAGGCGGGGGGGATTAAGGGAGAGTGTTCTAGATTTCAGGGCGTAGTAGCTGAAAGGCTACTGACGGTGGAATGGAGGGCATGAGGAACAAGCAGGAGCTGGAGTCAGTCGAGTGGAGGAAACGGGTAGTGAGTTGGGGAATAAGCAGGTCGGAGAGTTAGGAGGTGCCAGGACTTGAAGGGATTTTACTTAACACATCAGTGATCAGTCATTGCAATTAACCCACCCAGCTCACTTCGCTCTTACTAAATCTCTTTAGCTTGGTCTGTGCTCTTAACCTGATCCCCACCCTTCACCCTTCATCAATAGATCTTCTCTCTCTTTGCTTGTTATTCGCCACCACCCAGTTATCCCAATTAACTGCACATTTCCTTTCCTCCCTTCTACACCCTCATTTTTTAATCCCTACACACTCCCCATCTCCATCCCTAGTCAGCGAAACAGCCCATTTTTCATTACACTAAAATTTCTGAACATTCCTTGTATTTGATACAGCACCTTATCATTATCACATCATCGAGATGTCTCAAAGCACTTCACAGGATTTTACTGTGAAGTGTTTTTTTTTTGGTCAGCCGGGTGTCTGACACATGCAGAAACCAATCACCGTGCTTAAGACTGTCCAAACCGAGCTGAGAATTCCCTGCCTCCCACCTACACATGGAAATCCCAGAGATAGATTGTTGGAATGGAATGCGCTCTCTCTTTCTCCCTGGAGGGGCACATCCTGTTTACCTAATTCCGGAAAGTATTAGGTGCAGGTTGGCAAGAGCCAAGGCTTGGGGACCCCAGAGTGTGCGTTGGGTTAACTGCTGGAGTCTAACCAGCTAAAACTACACAGCTTGCCATTGATAATAATAATAATAATAATCCTTGCATTTGATATAGCGCTTTTCCCGTCGGGAGGACGTCCCAAAGCGCTTCACAGAACACACTGTAAAGTGAATTGACTGTATATTTGTGGGCGAACGAGGCAGCCAATTGCGCACAGCAATGTCCCACAAACAGTCGTAGATTGAAAATGACCAATTTATTATTGTTTTTGGTTTTGGAGGGATTATTATTAGGCTCTGTGTGGAGTAAGAAAACTTGCCCAAGGTTTGGAATCGACGCCAGGTCTCTCACTTGCAAAGCGAGTGCTCTAACCACTGAGCTACAGGACTCTACTGTATATTTGTGGGCTAAACGCAGCAGCCAATTGTGCCCAGCAGTGTCCCACAAACAGTCGAGGATTGAGTGACCAATTTATTATTTTTTTTGAGGGATGTGGAGGTGTGTGTCCAGGTGTGTGGAGTAAGGAAACTTTCCCAAGATTTGGCCCTACCGGGAATTGAACCCAGGTTTATTGCTTGTGAGGCAAGTGCTCAAACCACTGGAAAGATATTAAGACCTTGGAGCGGGTGCAGAGGAGATCTTCAAGAACGATACCAGGGACAAGGTCTACAGTTATGAGGAGAGATTTCCATTGGAGCAGAGACGATTGAGAGGAGATCTGATCGAGATGTACACAGCGGTGAGGGATTCAGACATCGCAAATAGGACAAAGCTGTTTCCACTGGTTGGGTGACCTGAGGAAATAGATATAAGATAATAATAATAACCAAAATATACAGTCAATACACTTTTTAATAATAATAATCCTTGCATTTGATATAGCGCTTTTCACATCTTCTAGACATCTCAAAGCGCTTCACAGAATATACTGTAAAGTGAATTGGCTGTATATTTGTGGGCAAAATACCAATTGCGCACAGCAGTGTCACACAAACAGTTGTGGATTGAATGACTAAATTATTTTTTTTTTATATTGAGGGATTATTATCAGGGGCAAGATGGCTGCAAGAAAGACAAAAGGAGATATTAGGAGAATTTTTTTCACACAGAGTTGTTGGTAATAATAATAATCAGAGTCGTTGTATTTGATGTAGCGCCTTATCACTATGTTGAAACGTCTCAAAGTGCTTCACAGGATATACTGTAAAGTGGATTCGCTGTGTATTTTGAGTGCAAAATGCAGCAGCTATTTGCGCACAGCGGTGTCATCACAAACAGAAGAGTGGATGCCCTGACAAGTAAGATAATAATGATAATAATAATAGCAATAATATTCCTTGCATTTTATTATGTGCCTGATCACATTGTTGAGATGTAGTGGCATTGTGGCTTTCAAGAGGTAAGTAGGAGGGTATATGAAGGATAAACCTAAGACTTAAAGTGTAGAATATGTCAGCCTGGCTCAGTTGGTAGCATTCCTGCCCTTGACCAGAAGGTTGTGGGTTCAAGCCCCATATTGGGACTTGAAAACCCATATGGTCTATGATGACACTCTGGGTTGGGTCATGACCCAACTGTGCAGCGCCTTGGGACATCCTCCTGACGTGAAAGGCGCTTTATAAATGGAATCTTGTTGTTGTTGTTGTTGTTGATGCTGTGCTGGGGATGTGCTGCATTAGCAGAGGGGCCATCCTTTGGACAGGACGTTAAACCAAAGTGCACCTCCCCACCCACCTTGCCTGTCCAGGTGAAAGATCCCATCACACTATTTGAAATGAGAAGGTTGTTTGTCCCTATGTCTTGGCTCTCAGTCACTCAACTAAAAAAATTGGTCACCTGCTCCTTGACTATTTATGTATGTCACTGTGTGCAAATTGGCTGCTGTGTCTGCACACCAAATACACAGTCAGTGGACTATACAGTATATCCTGTGAAGGGCTTTGAGATGTCTCGACAACCCGATGAGGCGCTGTATTGCTTTATCGGATGTAAGATAACCCTCACCAAGATCTATGATTTGTGGAGTCCTGTAGCTCAGTGGTTAGAGCACTCGCTTTGCAAGCGAGAGACCTGAGTTCAATTCCAGGCAGAGGGCGAAACCTTGGGCAAGTTTCCTTACTCCACACAGAGCCTAATAATAATCCCTCCAAAACCAAAAACAATAATAAATTGGTCATTTTCAATCCACGACTGTTTGTGGGACATTGCTGTGCGCAACTGGCTGCCGCGTTCGCCCACAAATATACAGTCAATTCACTTTACAGTGTGTTCTGTGAAGCGCTTTGGGACGTCCTCCCAACGTGAAAAGCGCTATATCAAATGCAAGGATTATTATTATTATTATGACCCTATCAGCCCCTTCATTGTCCGGCTCCACTGGCTCCCCATCCACCAGAAGAGAGAGTTCAGAATCATCATCCTCGCCTTCAAAGCCCCCCATGCCCTTGCTCCTGCCTACCTCTACGATCCGATAACTCCATATAGACCTGCCAGCCCTCGCTAAGCGGGCTCTGGCCTGCTCCATGTGCCTCGCCCTGCCTGCCCCACCATCGGTGGTCGGGCCTTCAGCGATTCTGCCCCCACCCTTTAGAACTCCATCCCAGTATCCCTTCCCTTCACCCCCTCCCTTTGGCTTCTTCAAGGCCTGTCCCGAGACCCTCCTCTTTGAACTACGTCTTCGATCACCCTCCTACCCCCCATCCTCCCTGCCCTCCAGTCTTCTGATCTTAACCCCCAGCTCAGATGCAAATCCTTGACTGTCCAGCACCTCTGGACGTTCTCTCGACATGAACAACAACAACAACAACAAGATTCCATTTATAGAGCGCCTTTCACGTCAGGAGGACGTCCCAAGGCGCTGCACAGTTGGGTCATGACCCGAGCAGGGGGGAAATGGTCAGGGGGAGCGGAGGGAAGGGAGGGAGAGAGGAGGGGGGAAATGGTCAGGGTGAGGGGAGGGAAGGGAGGGAGCGAGGAGGAGGAAGAGAGTCGAGAGGGGAGCTGAAGGCACGGTCAAAGAGAAAGGTTTTGAGACCGGCCTTGAAGGAGGAAAGGGAGGAAGCAAGGCGAAGGCACTGGGGGATGGAGTTCCAGAGCCTCGGGGCTGAGAGGCTGAAGGCCCGACCACCGATAGTAGGGCGGTTGGGCGGGGACGTGGAGCAGACCGGAGCCAGAGGAACGGAGGGTACGGGCAGGTAGGTAGGGGGATAGTAGGTTGGAGAGGTAGGAGGGAGCGAGGCCGTGAATGGCCTTGTAGGTGAGGATGAGGATCTTGAAATCAATCCTCTGGGGGATGGGGAGCCAGTGGAGGCGAGCGAGGGTGGGAGTAATGAATAGCGCATTACAAATGTAATTTGTTGTTGCTTTTGTTGTATCAAATGAATGCAAGGATTATTTATTATTTGAATGCTCTTCGATAAGGCTATCTGAAAATCATTGCCTCTAGCTTCTCTTTATGGCCTGAATGTAAAGGACTACCATCTGAGCTACAGGTCATGCCTGCAAGAGCGAACATCAATCAGCTTGAACATTCCCACAGGGTCGTGGGAAGGGGTGTGGTGGGTGTGGGAGGTATTATACAGTAGATTTTAAAGCTTATTTAACAATGGTTTATGTACTGAAACAGTGAGTCACTGAACCACACTCACTCTCGGATGGAATTTTTAGATCCATGACATGATTGCGAAAATCAGAAGCTGTGTATCTTGAGGCAAAGGCGGCAACCAATTTGCACTCATCAATGTGCCACGAACGTTAATACAATATGCTCTCTGTTGGCAATTTGTTGCCCAGCACACAGGGAGAGAGAGAGAGATTCCCTTCTTATTACGAGGCATGGAGTCCTGTAACGTAGTGCTTAGCGCACTTATCTCGCAAGCGAGAGGACCCGGGTTTGATTCCCAGGCAGGGCGAAAGCTTAGGCAAGATTTCTTACTCGACAAGCCTCAGTTTATCTAGCAGCAAGTAGGAACCTGGTTGTTAGTCGATTGGAGAATCGCTTCCGGGTGTAATAATCCTTTAAAAAAAGGGCCATCAATCCAGGACTGTTTGTGGGATGCTGCTGTGTGCAATTGGCTGCCAATTTCGCCTACAAATACCCAGTCAACTCACTTTACAATCTGTTCTGTAAAGCTCTGAGAAGTAGCTCAATGACACTATATCAAATGCGAGGATTATTATAGTGGTATAGGATCTTTAAAGTCCACCTAGACAGACAGACTGGACCTTGTTTTAATGTTTCATCTGCAGAATGTTTTTTCTGTAAAACGCTTTGCGACGTCTCAATGACGTGCTAAGGCAAGGATTATTATTTTATTATTATTTTTGCAAGTTGTGGATTTGTGGAGTGATTGTGCGGGTTTGTGCCCAATCTTGTCTTGACGTTGCTCTTAATACGCCACAAGAACTTCTGCAGTAAGTAAACTGGTTATGTATAAAATTCAGTATAAAATAATTCTAATAAGATTCAGCTCAATCAGTTGAAGGTTCCTTTGCTGGTCACTCAATTGCCTTTTGGACAAATGCAAATTTCGAAGAATTGATTTGTTGTCAAATAATCAATGTGGGGAGAACCATGTAGTGATGCTCCAACACAGTACTGTGGGGTGGGGGGGGGGGCTGCATTGTCAGGGGTGACAGCTTTCAAATGAGTAAATAATATCTTGGATGAGGAAATAATAGGAAATAATATCTTGGGATAGTGTATGCTTTGGGACACGACATGTGCCTGCGACTGCCAGGATGGTGGAAGGTGAACTGGATGGACGTTGGTCTTCTTTCGCCTAGTAATTCCTATGGTCTAATGAGACGTCAAACCAAAACCCTGTCTGCCTGTTCGGGTGGACATTTAAAGATCCCATGGCTCTATTCGAAAAGAGAAGGAAGTTTCTTCTGACATGAAAGGGGCTACGTAATTTGTTGTTGTTCTCCTAGCGCCTTGGCCGACAATCCCCTAAATAAAATAGGTCATTAACTTCATGCCTGCTTGTGGGACATTCACCTGCACAGTACACTGTCACTACACTTTACAGTATATCCCAGTATAAAAGGAGCTGTATCAAATGCAAGGATTGTTATTATTACTGTTGCTTTTATGGAACAGCTCTGAGTTACTCATGGACCTCTCACTGTAGGCTATTAAGAAGCAACTTGTATGGATTTTTATTTTTATTTTGGTCAGACGGATGTTTCTGATGTGGAAACCCATCACGGTGCTTGAGAGCATCCAAACCAAATTGAGAATTCCCTGCCTCCCACCTACACATGGAAATTCCAGAGAAAAATTGTTGGAATGGAATGCGCTCTCTCTCTCCCTGGAGGGATGCATCCTGCTTACCGAATTCCGGAAAGTACTAGGCATAGGGCTGGCAAGAGCCAAGGTTTGGGGCCCCCAGAGTGTGTGTTGGGGTAATTGCTGGAGTCTAACCAGCTAAAACCGCATAGCTTGACATTGATATCACTGTGTGGCGTGCATATTGGCTACCCATAACTGCAAAGTTTTTTGAGATATTTTTGCATGATAGGTGACTATTGTAAATGTAAGCTCCTCTTGCCAATGCTTGGAGTTTTTTTTTTCTTAACGTGTATTTGCTTGTTTCAGCTGTGCTGGAGGGTTGGGCGAGGATGCAACAATATTTTTGCCAAGAAGTCATTTGTTGCTGTGGTCCCGGCATGTCTCTCTGAAGGTGAAATTGTCTTCACGGGTGAGTCACAGACATCCCAGAAATCAAACCAGCAATTAATTTGGTTTAAAGAGTTACTTTTGTGTGCATCAGCCTGGCGCAGTGGTAACACTCTCACCGCTGAGTCAGAAGGTTGAAGGCCCATGTCGGGACTTCAACCCCATCGTCTAAGCTGACACGCCAATGTGCTGGGGGGTGGGTGTTGCATTGCCGGAGACACCGTCCTACGGACTAGACATCTGCCAGACATTAAAAGATCCCATGACACTATTCGAACAGAGAAGGGAGTTTCTCTCTCCCAGTGTCCTGGCCAACAGTCCTCCAAATAAAATCAGTCACTCACTGCATGGCTGTTCGTGGGACACTGCTGTGCGCAATTGGGCTGCTTTGTTAGTCAGAATGCTGGAAATACAGTGGACCGATTAACTTACCCCAATGTTGCTCAATATCCAAATTAAACTCTCAAGGTTACAGGTGAGTAACACCTGTTTGTTGAGACGGGCAGTGTTCCACTGGCATTGCATTAGTATCTCCCTATTCTCCTCAACCTCCTGCCCCACAACTCTGCTCGCACCCTACTGCTCGGCTACCTTGCACAGCCTTGCTTTAAGTGCTCTGGGTGGCTTAAAGCTACCTAAATGCTATCTAAATGCAAACTTTTGTTGTTGCTGCACGTCCCCGCCCTACCTGCACCACAATTGTTGGTCCAGCTTTCCAATTCTATGCTATTGACCTCTGGAACCCCCTCCCTCAACCCCTCCTGACTCTCTACGCCACTGCCTCCCCCCTTTGCTCAGCTGACTCCAGCCTCCTGCTTGTCCCTTGTCCCCTCCGCTCCACAATTGGCAAGTGCGCTTTCAGCCACTATGCCCCAAAACATGGAATTCTCCTCTGCAATCCCTCTGCCCTGCCCCCTCCTTGCCCACAGCTGAAGACCTTCCTCTTCAATCTCTTTGACATATGCCTATGGTCACTTCCCTCACCCTTTCCTCCCACTCTCTCTCCTCCCCTCCTGGCTGCTTTGTGGAGTCCTGTAGCTCAGTGGTTAGAGCACTCGCTTTGCAAGTGAGAGACCTGAGTTCAATTCCAGGCAGAGGGTGAAACCTTGGGCAAGTTTCCTTACTCCACACAGAGCCTAATAATAATCCCTCCAAAACAAAAACAATAATAAATTGGTCATTTTCAATCTACGACTGTTTGTGGGACATTGCTGTGCGCAATTGGCTGCCGCGTTCGCCCACAAATATACAGTCAATTCACTTTACAGTCTATTCTGTGAAGCGCTTTGGGACGTCCTCCCGACGTGAAAAGCGCTATATCAAATGCAAGGATTATTATTATTAGCATCCCACCCCCTGAAAAGTGCTCCAAAATGTTATTTTGTTAGAAGTGTGCTCTGTAACAAACAATAGCAACACATTACATTTGTAAAGTGCATGTCAGCATGTCACGTTGAGAGGACATCCCAAGGCGCTGGATAATCAGGGATTTGGACCCGAGCTAAGGATTGGGATCAGGAAGGGTAGAGGGCAGGGAGGATGAGGGTAGGAGGTTGACCAAAGGAGCAGTTGAAGAGAAGCGTCTTGAGACCGTCCTTGAAGGAGGCAAGGGAGGGGCCGAGATGAACGGACTGAGTTACAAACAGTTGGAGCAGAGAGGCTGAATGCCAAACTGCCAATAGTGGGGGCGGGCCAGGCAAGGATGTGGAGCAGGCCCGAGCCCTCTGAGTGGAGGGAGCGGACAGGTCTATATGGATTAAGCAGGTCATAGAGGTAGGGAGGAGCAAGGCTGTTGAGGTCTTTGAAGGTGAGAACAGGGTTTTGAAGTCTATCATCTGTAAAGGCAATTTGTTGTTGTTGTGTGGCTAAATAACTAATTCATTGTCTTTCTTTCAATTCTAGTACAAATTCTCAATTGCAACCCAAAAGCAAACATTTACCTAAACACTAACGATGATCGCTTCGGAATCCATCTCAATGGTTCTATCTATTCAACTCAATATCAGACCATTGACTCCATTTACAGACTGCAAGTGTTGGGGGTGGGTTCGCAAACTCATGAGATAATTTATGTCGATTTGATTCCTTCAAGTAACTCAATGGGCAAAAAACATGAGGTAAGTCCTTTACAAATCACTGATTAGGCCTAAGTTGGAGTACTGTATCCAATTCTGGGCACCACATTTTAGGAAGGATGTCAAGGCCTTGAAGAGGGTGCAAAGGAGATTTATAAGAATAATACCAGGGACTTCAATAATATGGAGATACTAGAGAGGTTGGGATTGTTCTCCTTAGTCCTGTAGCGTAGTGGTTAGAGCACTCACTTTGCAAGCGAGAGACCTGAGTTCAATTCCAGGCAGAGGGCGAAACCTTGGGCAAGTTTCGTTACTCCACACAGAGCCTAATAATAATCCCTCCAAAACCCAAAACAATAATAAATTGGTCATTTTCAATCTACGACTGTTTGTGGGACATTGCTGTGCGCAATTGGCTGCCGCGTTCGCCCACAAATATACAGTCAATTCACTTTACAGTGTGTTCTGTGAAGCGCTTTGAGACGTCTAGAAGACGTGAAAAGGGCTATATCAAATGCAAGGATTATTATTATTATCATTATTATTAGAGCACAGATGGTTAAGGGAGATGTATTGTTCAAAATTATGAGGAGTTTTGATAGAGTAAATAGGGAGAAACTGTTTCCTCTGGCAGGTCAATCGGTAACCAGAGGACACAGATTTAAGATAAGTGGCAAAAGAACCAGAGGGGAGACGAGGAGGCATTTTTTTTATGCTTCGAGTTGTTATGAGCTGGAATGCACTGCCTGAAAGGGAGGTGGAAGCAGATTTGATAGGAACTTTCAAAAGGGAATTGGATAGGTACTTGACAAGGAAAAATTTGCAGGGCTTTGAGATAGGAGCAGGGGAATGGTACAGGTTGGATAACAATGGCCAGAATGACCACTCTCTGTAAGATTCTATGATTCTATGATAAGTTATAGTTGCAAATGTCTTTCTGTTGAAGTCTTTGGTCACCCAGTATACTTGACAAAGCTTCATAAGCCTAATTTAAATGTAAAGGCTCAGTAATTTTTTATTGCAGGAGATGCGAAGAGAGGGTCGAAGGGTGTGGAAACTCAAACCTGTTTGTTTATGTCTCATTTTAAGTGTCACGTGATAATTACTGCGTCGCAATATATCCCCCAGCTCACCCCCACACCCCACACCCCAACTCTTGTGTGCGCAGGCATTGTGGTTCACTGTGTGCAGGTCAGTTACCACCGCTTGGTGAGCACTGGCCTGCTCCATATCACACGTTCCGCCCGCCACCACCCCCCAACAACACCAATGGTGGTCGAGCCTTCAACCTCTCTGCCCCCAGCCTCTGGAACTCCATCCCGGAAACTCTACGCCTCACCCGCCTCGCCTGCTACAATAAACGCAATATTTTTAATAAAAATGAACAATTTTTGAGGCCAAAAAAATTTATTTAAAGGGGAAATGAAACATCTTTATTTGCAGGTTGTAAAGGAAGACCCCAGTCCAATTTATCTTAGGGCGAGAAGCAACTCACGACGGCAAAAACGAGAATGGATTAATCCACCAATTTCAGTTAGGGAGGAGAACCCCAATTACATCAATCCTATTGCACAGGTAAGTGGTGTTCAATGACTATTCCTATTCCTTTGTTTAAAGGCAATCTTAACCTAGAGTCCTGGAGCATAATGGTTACAGCAGATACCTCGCAAGCGAGAGGAACTGGGTTTGATTCCCAGCAAGGCAAAACCTTGGGCAAGTTTCCTTACTCCAACCCCTCTGTTTACCGAGCAGTAAATAGGAACCCAGTTGTTAGTTGATTGGCAGATCATTTTCTGGGGTTAATTATCTCTTAAAAATAATGTGATCACTCTTTCCACGACTGTTTGCGGGACACTGCTCTGCACAATTGGCTGTTGTGTTTCGCCAACAAAATATACAGTCAACTGACTTTACAATATATCCTGTGAAGTGCTTTGAGATGTCTCGACAATGCGATAAAATGCTAAAATGCATTACCTCACCCCTCACGCTGCTGAAACCCTGGTCCACGCCTTTGTCACCTCAAGGCTGGACTATGGGAACTCTCTCCTCGCCGGCCTTCCCGCCACCTCCCTCCACACGCTGCAGGTCATTCAGAACTCTGCAGCTCGTGTACTGTCCCGCACCAGACACCGTGACCACATCACTCCCACCCTCGCTCGCCTCCACTGGCTCCCCATCCCCCAGAGGATCGAATTCAAGATCCTCATCCTCACCTACAAGGCCATTCACGGCCTCGCTCCCTCCTACCTCTCCGACCTACTATCCCCCTACCTACCTGCCCGTACCCTCTGTTCCTCTGGCTCTGGTCTGCTCCACGTCCCCCGCCCCAACCGCCCTACCATCGGTGGTCGGGCCTTCAGCCTCTCAGCCCCCAGGCTCTGGAACTCCATCCCCCAGTGTCTTCGCCGCTTCCTCCCTTTCCTCCTTCAAGGCCGGTCTCAAAACCTTTCTCTTTGACCGTGCCTTCAGCTCCCCTCTCGACTCTCTTCCCCCTCCTCGCTCCCTCCCTTCGCTCCCCTCACCCTGACCATTTCCCCCCTCCTCGCTCCCTCCCTTCCCTCCCCTCACCCTGACCATTTCTCCCCTGCTCGGGTCATGACCCAACTGTGCAGCGCCTTGGGACGTCCTCCTGACGTGAAAGGCGCTTTATAAATGGAATCTTGTTGTTGTTGTTGTTGTAAATATTACACTCTGGTACACCACAATGCTAAACATTTACATGCATTCTGAATTACACAATGCACAGAAATGACCTACCTCAATTTCTTTCCTTTTTTTAGATTAGATCAGATAAGGATGAAATAAATCAGGGTATAAGATACAGGCTTTCAGGACCAGGAGCAACAGAGGATCCTTTCGGTTTGTTTCTGCTGGATCCAGAAACAGGCAAAATAAATATTACCGGAATTGTGGATCGTGAAAAAACTCCAGTCTTTGAGGTACGTTGCGTGTCTGTTTGAGTTGCTGTGGTGGATGGTTCCAAAATATGACATTTGCATATTCACAACTCAAATTTAAGTTGCCAACCGTGAATTTTGTTTTGCAAAAAGCAGAAACGGATTCCACTGGTGGGCCGGTGGTCGGTAACCAGAGGATACAGATTTAAGATAATTGGCAAAAGAAATATTTTTACCCAGCGAGTTGTGATGATGTGGAATGCATCGCCTGAAAGGGTGGTGGAAGCAGATTCAATGGTAACTTTCAAAAGGGAACTGTATATTTACTTGACAAGGAAAAATTGGCAGTGCTATGGGGAAAGAGCAGGGGAGTGGGACTAGTTGGTAGCTCTTTCCGGTAGCCGGCACAGACACAATGGACCAAATGACCTTCTTCGGTCTGTAAGATTCTATGAAATGTGCGCAATTGGCTGCCGCGTTCGCCCACAAATATACAGTCAATTCACTTTACAGTATATTCTGTGAAGCGCTTTGGGACGTCTAGAAGATGTGAAAAGCGCTATATCAAATGCAAGGATTATTATTATTAATTCTCTGAAAAACCGATTGCAAGATTCCAAAACTGTAAACTGTAGACAGACAAAGTTGATAACAATTTTAATCTTGGCATTTGACATAGCGGCTTATCACGTCGTTGAAACTTCTCTTAAGCCCTTCACAGAATATATTGCAAAGTGAATTGACTGTATATTTTGTGGGCGAACGCAAATGTCAGTGTGTTAAAACCCTGGCTGTGAATTGATATATTTTTCAAGTACTCTCTATTATAATTTCAACCAACATGTTTTGTGCTGTTCATCAAAGACCGTGAATGTTAACCGGCATCCGGCTAAAGCGGCTTCCACTGTATCTCCTTATTAAAAGCTGTACTTGTGTATGCTTTGACCATCTCTGATATTTGACCTCCTACATTTGTTTACTGGTATTTTCAGATGATAGCTCAAGCCTACGATAGGAATAATAACCCATTGGAAAATCGTCTACCAATCAGAATCAAAATCCTGGATATTAATGATAACCCTCCCGTGTTTACCCAAGAAGTTTTTCATGGAAGTATTGAGGAATGGAGCCCACTCAGTAAGATTTTTTAGAAATGCGGGAATATAATGGCTGCTGTTTGGAGCACGAATCTGCTTATAATAACAATAATTATTCTTGTATTTGATGTAACGCTTTATCACATCGTGGGACGTCTAAAAGAGCTTCGCAGAATATATTGTAAAGTGGATTGAACCCTCTCCTTTGAAGCTATAAACCAGCAGACAGTCACACGCTGGCCGAGATTCCTCCTTTGCACAATAGTCGTTTAGTTTTGCCAAGCAAAAGAGAATTAAAATTACAACAAAGATGACAATTTACATCTGTAGAGCGCCTTTCACGTCGGGAGGATGTCGCAAGGCATGGTGTACAGTAATAATAATAGTGATAATAATCCTTCAGTTAATATATCACATCTTTTGAGACGTCTCAAAGCGCTTCACAGAATACACTGTAAAGTGGGTTGACTGTGTTTTGTGGGCGAAATGGGGCAGTCAATTGTGCACAACAATGTCCCACATACAGTCGAGGATTGAGTGTAGAAGCTTGTGTGTTATAGTATAGAAGATGCTACCCGCACAGTGAAACCTGGTGTCAAGGAACATCCGAGAAGATCATATCACTTATTAACTGTGCCGGAAGAAGTGTAGTAGTTAGCGTGATCACCTTGCAAGCAAGAGTTCCCTAGTTCAATTTCCGGGTGGCCCAAAACCTTAGACAAGTTTCCTTACTCCACAAGCCTCTGTTTACCTAGCAGTAAGGGGGAACCTGGTTGTTTGTCAATTGGCAGATCGCTTCCTGAAGGTAATAATTCCCCACCACCAAAAAAAAATACAGTCACTCAATCTACGACAGTTTGTGGGATCATTGCTGTGCACAATTGGCTGCCGGGTTTCACCCACAGAATAGACAATCTAATTTACAATATATTCTGTGAAGCTCTTTGAGATGTCTTAATGACGTGATCAGGTGCAATATCAAATACAAGAATTACTATTATTGCTAAGACACCTTCGGTCTGCAACTTGCTGGTGCTCTGCGGGCTTGAGAGTCCGTGAGTCAGAGGCAGATAGGGAACTCTTGGCACTAAAGATGTTCTGAGCTCCTCCGTACAGCGTGTGTGGGTGTTGTGTGTTGCTTTCCCGGAGAAACACCACCTCCTCCCTTCCAATCATGTACCAGGGGAGCATCCAGCACACGCTTGGGTTCTCCCCCTGTGTATGGTGAGAAGGGAGCATGGACCTGGGGAGAGGGTCTGGGCACAGAGAGACCCCAGGGCCTGTGTGTTAATCTGCCCCTGCTCAGAATGGGTCTTAAATGGGATGGAAAAAGAAAATGCCAGCTTTATTCATGTTGAAGCCTGGAGCTCAAAGGTAAGCAGCGTCTCCTTCGAGCTGAACTGGCCCCAAGGTGACATATTTAGCAACGTCTAGCAATGTCGGAATTGAGCCAGCCCTTTGTAGCGGTTTCTAGTCCGTTCCTGAGCTAGACGGGTCCACCGGTCCATTACTGATGACAGCACAGCCCAGCCTGGCTCATCAGCAGAACTTGGAAGAGCAGACCAGTCACTGGGGGCAGGGAATCCTCCCATTCACCTTCTGTTAACCCTGCAAGCAACGCCTTAATTGGTGGGGTGTTCCTAGCTGGACAAGCAGCAAGAAAACTTGCCAGAGAGCAATATCAATGGCAATCTACGTGGCTATAACTGGTTTGACTCCAGCAGTTACCCCAACACACACTCTGGGGTCCCCAAACCTTAGCTCTTGCCAACCTGTGCCTAATACTTTCCAGAATTCGGTAAGCAGGATGTGTCCCTCCAGAGAGAGAGCGCGTTTCATTCTAACAATCTATCTTTGGGATTTCCACGTGTAGGTGGGAGGCAGGAATTCTCAGCTTGGTTTGGATTCTCTTAAGTACGGTGATGGGTTTCTGTATGTGTCTCAGACGGCTGCCTGTGCAAAAAAAAAAATTCTGAGCTCAAACAATGTTTGCTGGCTTTTGGGAATTATGTTCTGAGCATCCTTCATTAAATGTGCCCAATTGTATCTCGTGCAGATACACTGGTCATGACATTAAACGCAACGGATCCAGATGAAGGTGAAAATGCTTTAGTTGCCTACCGAATTATCTCACAGGGTGGCAGTCAAATGTTTTCTGCTCAAACCAGAGGAACGATCGTAACATCCAGTTTGAATTTGGACAGAGAGGTGAGTGGACACACTTCAAAACGTTTTCATTCCAAAATTCAAAGCTTGTGTGCTCTCCTGCCATAACACCTGTAGTGTAGTGGTTAGTGTGTTCGCCTCACGAACGAGAGGACCTGGGTTTGATACCTGGGCAGCTTAGGCAAGTTTCCTTATTCCACACGCCTCTGTTTACCCAACAGTAAATAGGAACTCAGTTGTTACTGGATTGGTAGATCACTTTTGGGGGTAATAATCCCCCCTCAACCCCCGAAAAATGATCACCACTGTTTGTGGGTCATTGCTGTGCACAACTGGCTGCCCACAAAATACCCAAGGATGCAAACTCCACCTCGCTAAGCCAATCTGGAACCTTGGGGTCTCGTTTGACCCTCAACTATCCTTTCTACCCCACATGACCCACTCTGCCTTCCCCACCTCCGCAACATCGCCCGGCTCTGACACTGTCTCACAGCACAGGCCGCCAAAACCCTCATACACACATTTATAACATCCAGTTGACAAACATTTGACTATGCAAACTCCCTGCTTGTCGACCTCCCCAACTCCTCCCTCCATAGGCTGCCAATCATCCAGAACTCTGCAGCCCATGTCCTCTCCCACACCAGGCTCCGTGGCTCTATCGCCTCCATGCTTGCCTGACTCCACCGGCTTCCCATTCCCCAGAGGATACAGTTCAAAATCCTCTTCCTCACACTCAAAACCCTCCGAGGCTTTGCTCCTTCCTATCTCTGACCTGCTAACCCCATACAATTCAAGATCATGGTCCTCATCTTCAAAGCCCTCCATAGCCTTGCTCCCACTCCCTCTGTGACCTCTTAACCCTCTACCAACCTGCCTGCTCAGCCTGCTTCACATCCCCCCCCTTGCCTGCCGCACCATTGGCGTGCGGGCTTTCTGCCACTCTGACCTCCCCTTTGGAACTCCATCCCACAGTCTCTCTGCCTCGCCCCCCTCCTTTGCCTCTTTCAAGAACCATCTCAAGACCCTCCCCTTCGACCGTGCCTCCTCACCCTCCTTGCCTCCCTGCCCTCCACCCTCCCCGATCCCGACCCCCAGCTTGGGTCTGAAATACTGACTGTCCAGCGCCTTGGGACATCCTCGACGTGAAAGACACTGTACAAATGTCATTTTGTAGTTGTAGTAGTACCTTTAGAATCTGAAGACCTCAATCATATCGCACCTCAACCTTCTCTTCTCCAGTGTGAACATGCCCAGTTTACCTGATCACTATTTCACAAAAAAATAGAGTCGATCCACTTTATAGGATGTTCTGTGAAGCACTTTGAAATGTCTCAACGACGTGATAAGACGTTAAATCAAATGCAAGGATATTATTAATATTACTATTTGCTCCTCTAACGCTTATACTGAAAAGTACTGAACAATGGTATTGGGGCCCCCAAATTCTCTTCGGTGTTAGCCTGAAGATCATTTTCTTACTTTTTAAGATCCTGTCAAATTCACTGCACGATACAGTAAGTCCTGCAAAGAGCTTTAAGACAACAACAACAACAAGATTGCATTTATAGAGCGCCTTTCACGTTGGGAGGACGTCCCAAGGCGCTGGACAGTTGGGTCGGGACCCAAGCAGGGGGGAAATGGTCAGGGTGAGGGGAAGGAAGGGAGGGAGCGAGGAGGGGGTAGAGAGTCGAGAGGGGAGGTGAAGGCACGGTCAAAGAGAAAGGTCTTGAGACCGGCCTTGAAGGAGGAAAGGGAGGAAGCGGCGAAGGCACTGGGAGATGGAGTACCAGAGCCTCGGGGCTGAGAGGCTGAAAGCCCGGCCATCGATGGTAGGGTGGTTAGGGCGGGGGGTGTGGCGCAGACAGGAGCCAGAGGAACGGAGGATGCGGGCAGGTAAGTAGGGGGATAGTAGGTCGGAGAGGTAGGAGGGAACAAGGCCATGAATGGACGTCCTCCTGACGTCCAAGGCACTGTCAGATGTAAGGATTATTATTTTTATATCATTTTGGAAAAATTGGCTTCCAGGTTAAGATTGCACGTAAGAGCTTTTATCAATATCCGCAAAACATTTTATTTTAAGACTGATCTTAAGCCTAAGAACCTGAGAAATGATCGGGTCCCAGATTGTGGTTATGAAGTCCTGTGGATAACAATAACAACAAGAACTAATTACATTACAGTGCCTTTCACATCGGGAGGACATCCCAAGGCGTTTGGGTATCATCAAGCATTTGGACTTGAGCTGGGGCTTGGGTTCGGGAGGGCTGGAGGAGGGCAGGAAGGGTAGAGGTAGGAGGGTGACTGAAGGCGCGATTGAAGAGGAGGGTCTTGAGATGGGGCTTGAAGGACAGAAAGGGAAGGGTTGAGGGGAAGGTGCTGGGGGATGGAGTGCTAAAGGGTGGGGTTAGAAAGATTAAAGGCCCAACTGTCAATAAGTCCTTTATTGGTTAGAGCACTCAACTCGCAAGACGGAGGACCCTAGTTTGATTCCCGGGCAAGGGCGAAACCTTCGGCGAGTTTCCTTATTTCACACACCTGTTTACCAAGCATTAAATAGGAATCTGGTTGTTAGTCAATTGCCGGATCGCTTTCCAGGGGTAATAATTCCTCAAAAAATATAATAATAATTTGGTCACTCAATTCATGATTGTTTGTGGGACATTGTTGTGTGTAATTGCCTGCCGCATTTTGACCAACAAAATATATAGCTTCTACACTTTACAGTATATTCTGTGAAGCACTCAACGATGTGATATATTAATCAAATGAATATTACTCAGATTTACTGCATTCCTAAAAATGTTTGCCTTTCTTCCGGTTTAGACACAGGATACGTACGTTTTAGTTGTTGAAGGCCGTGACATGGATGGGAAGGCTGGAGGGTTACAATCAACAGCGAAGGCTGAGATTAAGATCCTAGATGTTAATGACAATGTTCCCACACTTGACAAATATGAGGTAAGGGCTCGTACTGACGATCCAACTCAGCTCCTGGTTAATCCTGTGAGCCAAAACCCTAATGACTAGGGTTCCAGTTATTAATATCAATGGCAAGCTATGCAGTTTAGACTCCAGCAGTTACCCCAACCCAAACTCTGGGAACCCCAAGCCTTGACTCTTGACAACCTGCGTCTAATGGAGTCCTGTAGCTCAGTGGTTAGAGCACTCGCTTTGCAAGTGAGAGACCTGAGTTCAATTCCAGGCAGAGGGCAAAACCTTGGGCAAGTTTCCTTACTCCACACAGAGCCTAATAATAATCCCTCCAAAACCAAAAACAATAATTAAATTGGTCATTTTCAATCTACGACTGTTTGTGGGACACTGCTGTGCGCAACTGGCTGCCGCGTTCGCCCACAAATATACAGTCAATTCACTTTACAGTGTGTTCTGTGAAGCGCTTTGGGACGTCCTCCTGACGTGAAAAGCGCTATATCAAATGCAAGGATTATTATTATTATTATTATTATAATACTTTCCAGAATTAGGTAAGAAGGATGTATCCCTCCAGAGAGAGCGTGTGCATTCCATTCCAGACATCCGGCTGACCCCCAAAAATTATATATAGCTGTCAATCTGGCTCGGATTTTTCAATGTAAACTGCTGTTATAGCAAAAGCAAGGATTATCGTTGTGCTTCATTATTGTACGCTGCGGAAAGAGAAGATCTGAAATGATGGTTTGCACTGGCTATCCTGTGTCATTTCCAGTATGATGTGTCTGTGGACGAAAATTCCAAGGGCAAAGAACTTCTTCGTATAAAAGTACATGACCAAGATGAAGAGTTCACCGATAACTGGCTGGGAGACTTCGAAATTGTTGAAGGAAACGAAAATGGCAACTTCCGCTTTGAAATGGATGAAAAGACAAATGAAGGGATTTTAATACTTGATAAGGTGAGAGGTCTGTCTTCGTACTTGTGTCAGATAGTCCTATGGTTGTAGCATCAGATAGTTGCACATGCGTGTGATCACTATGATAAGAGTGTCAGTCCGCCTCAGTTAGTAGCACTCTGAGTCAGAAGGTTTTAGATTTAAGCCCCCACATCAGGACTTGAACTCACACAGTCTTAATTTAACTCTCCAATGCAGCAGTGGGGGTGTGTGGCATTGTCAGAGGTGCTGTCCTTCGGATGAGACATTAAATCCAGATCCTGTCTGCCTGTTCAGATGGACGTTAAAGATCCATTGCCACTATTTGAAAAGAGAAGAGAGTTTCTCTCTCCCAGTGTCCTGCAAAATAATCCCCCAAATTAAAAAAAAAATCTTTTGTTTCATTTCTGTTTGTGGGACATTACTGTACACAAATTGGCTGCCGCATTTGCCCACGTATACAATCACCTCACTTCATAGTAAATCCTGTGAAGCACTTCGGGGTGATCTCCCAACATGAAAGGCGCTATATCAAATGCAATAATTATTATTGTTATAAATGAGAATTATTATTGTTACAAGAAGTGATGATTGGTTTATGAAAAACTAGTGATGTGCTTAATATTCCAAAATGTAGGAAGAACATTACAGAACATCAAATTAAATTTAATACAGTGGCATGTTTATAGATCATCATCTCTATAGCTTTAGATATGTTGGCTTTAATAGTGACTATCCTCCTAGGGGCCGAGGTAAGTGGGACCATCTTGGTGCTGAGCAGGCTCCAAGGTGATATGTTTGGTAATGGAATGTCAGAATCGAGTCAATCTTCTGTAGTGGACTCGATCATCCAGTTCCTGAGCCAGGTGGGTCTGCAGTGCTCCAGGTCTCTGCTGATGACAGCACACCCAGCCTGGGCCATCAGCAGGACCTGGAATGGTAGGCCAGTCACTGAGGCCAGTCACAGGAAATACACCCACTCAGCTCCTGTTAATCCTGCAAGCCACAGCCCTAACGGGTAGGGTAGTCTTAGCTGGATAAGCAGCGGCAAAGCTTGCCAAACATTGATATCAATGACAAGCAACAGTGTTTTAATACTCCCTGGAATTCGGTAACCAGAAACTTGATTGTTGTAGGTGACATACATACATGGAATTCTCAGTCTGGTTTCCGTAACCTTAAGCACGGTGATGGGTTTCTGCAGGCGTCAGTCTGACCAACTTTATTATCACAATAAAGGCCTTATTTAATATGAACTTGACACATTTTTCCCTTTCTGTCCCCACCTCTCTCCAGGAATTGGATTACGAGGCCGACCCAAACTTGAATTTGGCTCTCAGAGTCGCCAATAAAGCACCGTATCACTGGTCGGTCGTTGGTGGTGGAGGAGGTGGAGGAGGTGGAGGAGGAGGAGGAGGAGGAGGAGGTGGAGGAGGAGGAGGAGGAGGAGGAGGTGGAGGAGGTTTTGGAGGAGTTGCTGGAGGATCTAGTAGTGTTGGAGGTGGCAGTGGCGGAGCTGAGCCAGGGAAGCCCATTCGAGTCACGGTCAACGTCAATGATGTGAAGGAAGGCTATGAATTTCGCAGCTTAAAAAATCCTGTCTCCATATCTGAAGGACACAATATGAATCAGGGGAGCTCCTTTGGAAGGTTCCCAGCAGTGAGCGCTGATAACGGCAAAGAGAGTGAGAAAACAACGTAAGAGCACTTTGTGTTTGTGTGTGTGTATGTGTGCTACAACAGCCACCTCTGCTCCCTTAAGGCTCAAGTGTGTGCCGTTGAACGCACCTGACTCAAATCCAACTTAACGGTCCATTGGTAGATCTGGCTGGACCTTATTAAATCTTACTGCTCCGCCCCCGCCTCCGCTAAATCGTCTTTCTACTCCAAGACAATCTTGGAGTCCAAGGACAACCCGAGGCTCCTCTTCTCCAGCCCCGACCGGCTCCTCTGCCCACCCTCTCCCGTCTCACCCATCCTCACCTCCAATGCCAACTGTGAGGAGATACTGGACTTCCTTGAAATCAAAGTCAAGGGGAACCGCTCAGCTGCCTCTACCCTTCTGACCACTAGCCCCTCCCCATCTCCCCCTCACACACCGGCCCCTACCCATCCCTCCCTCCACACCTTCGAACCTGTTCCCATCTCTCTCTCATCACCATCATAACCCACATGCAACCGATGACTTTTTGCCTCGAACCCATCCCTACCCGTCTCCTTAGCTCCCAGCTCCACCTTCTTGCCCCCCTACTCACAGACATTATAAACCTCTCCCTGTCCACAGGCACCATTCCCACCCCTTTAAAAACAGCCATCATCACTCCTATCCTTAAAAACACTCTCTCTGGACCCATTCCTGCTCTCAAACTACCGCCCCATCTCCAACCTCCTTTTCCTTTCCAAGGTCCTGGAACGAGCCATTGCTTCCCAGCTTCACTCCTTCCTCTCCCGCCACTCCCTTCACGAACCCCTCCAACTGCGACCAGAACTCCCTCTGCCTCCTCATCCTCCTTGACCTCTACAGCCTTCGATGCGGTTGCCCACTCCATTCTCCTCCACTGCCTTCTCATCTCACCTCAAACTTCATAGATCTGTCCTTGATATGTTCAAATCGTACTTCTCACGCCGCCTCCACTTCATTTGCCCCAAACGGTTTCTACTCTAGCACTCAGACCATCCCTTGTGGTATTCCTCAGGGTTCTGTCCTTGGTCCCCTCCTTTTCAATATCTACATGCTCCCTCTTGGTGACATCATCTGTAAACATGGGGTCAATTTCACATGTATGTGGATGACATCCAATTCTATCTCTCTGCCTCCAACCTTGACTCCAGAATGTCTGATAGATATCAAGTCCTGGATGAGAGCTAATTTTCTACAGTTGAATGACAACAAGACTGAGGCCCTCCTGATTGTCTCCCGTCAGCGCCTCCACACCTCAGGCACTGACAGCATCACCATCCATGGTTGCACACTCCACTTTGCTAAGCCAGTCCGGAACCTTGGCATCTTGTTTGACCCTCAACTATCCTTTCGACCCCACATCCACGCCATGACTTGCTCTGACTTCCCCACCTTTGCAACATCACAGAATTATAAGGCACAGAAGGAGGCTATTCGGCCCATCATGTCTGATCCAGCTCTTTGAAAAGAACTATCCAAATCAATTCCACTCCCCCGCTCTCAACTCCACAGTGCTGCAAACTTGTCCTCCACAAATAGTTATCCACTTCTCTCTGAAAAGTTGTTATCGAATCAGCTTCCACCACCCTTTCAGGCAATGCATTCCAGATCCGAAGAACTCGCTGTGTGAAAAAAATTCTCCTCAACTCCCCTCTCTTTGTTTTAACAACTATTTTAAATTGCTGTCCTCTCCAATGCCTGCTCCATGGAGAATAATCCTAGGTTCTCTCGCCTCTCCTGATAACTGAAGTCCCGCATTCCTGGTACCATACTGGTAAATCTCCTTTGCACCCTCTCCAATGCCTTGATATCCTTCCAAAATTGTGGGGCCCAGAACTGAACAGTCTCTGGTTGAGGCCCTAACCAGTGTTTTATAAAAGATCATCATAACTTCCTTATTTTTTGCATTCTATGGCCCTATTTATAAAGCCTAGTATCCCGTATGCTTTTATAACAGCTTTATCTCCCTGTCCTGCCACCTTCAATGATATACTTATATGAACCCCAGATCTCTCTGTTCCTTCACCCCCTTTAAGATTGTACCATCAGCTTATATTGCCTCTCCTCATTCTTCCTCACAAAATGCATCACTTTGCATTTCTCCACATTGAACTTCATTCCACGTGTCTGCCCATTTTACCAGTCTATGTTCATTAGCAGTCTATTACTATCCTCCTCACTATCCTACGCCACTGTCTCACACCACAGGCCACTGAGACCCTTATACATGCATTCATAACAGCCAGGCTTGACGACACAAACTTGACCTCCTCAACTCCTCCCTCCATAGGCTGCAGATCATCCAGAATTCTGCAGCCCATGTTATCTCCTGCACCCGGCTCCTCGACTCTATCACCCTCATCCTCGTCCGACTCCACTGGCTTCCCATCACACAGAGGATACAGTTCAAGATCCTGGTCCTCATCTTCAAAGCCCTCCATGGCCTTGCTCCCCCCTACCTCTGTGACCTCCTAACCTGCTCTCTCCTTCTGCTCAGCGGGCTCTGGCCTGCTTCATGTCCCCTGCCGTGCCCACCCCACCATTAGCGGGCAGGCCTTCTGCCACTTTATCTCCGCCTCCTAGAACTCCATCCCGCAGTTCCTCCACATCGCCTCCTCCCTTGCCATCTTCAAGACCCATCTCAAGAACCCTCATCTTTGACCGTGCCTTCAGTCAGCCTCCTTCCATCCCTGCCCTCCACCCTCCCCTATCCCAGCCCCCAGCTCAGGTCCAAAACACTGAGTGTCCAGCACCCTGGGATGTCGTCCTGAAGTGAAAGCCGCTATACAAATGTAATTTTGTTGTTATTGTTGTAGTCCCTTCACCTCGTTCCTTCCCTTGCTTCCCTCAAGGTCCATCTCAAGACCCTCTTCTTCAACCGTGCCTATGGCCACCTTCCCTCTCCTACCCTCTCCGCCCTTCCCCCTCCCTGATCCCAAACCCCCCACCCCATTTGGGTCCGAATCCCTAATCCCTGACTGTTCAGCACTTTGGGACATCCTCCCGATGTGAAAGGCACTTTTCAAGTGTAATTTTGTATTGTGTTGTGTTGTTTATGTGTGTGTGTGTTTGTGCGTGTGTTTGTGTGTGCGTGTTACGTGAGTATATGTGTGTGCTTGTTTGTGTGTTTATGCGTGTGTTTGTTTGTTTATGTGTGTGTGTATGTGTGTTTATGGGTATTGTGTGTGTGTTTATGTGTTTGTGTGTGAGTGTGTTTGTGTTTGTATGTATGTGTATGTGTGTGAGAGAGTGAGTGTGTGTTTATGAGTATAACCCTAAGTGTGCGTGCGTGTGTGTTTATATGTTTGTATGTGTGCGAGCGTGTGTGTGTGCTTTTGATGTTCATGTCTGTATTTTTATGAATCCCACATCAATCATGCACATTTCTAATTTGTTTCAAACAGATATGCAAAGGGTTCTGACCCGGCGAATTGGTTACACATTGACCCTGCCACTGGAAACATTAGCTTCATTACTGTGCCTGACAGGGAGTCAGAGTATGTGGTCAATGGAACATACACAGCCACAATATTGGCTATAAATAATGACGGTAAGTGGTTTAGGAAGTAATGTTGGACTGAACAGAGCCACCACGGATAACATTGATAACAAGAACATAAGAATTGCTAGATGAAAGAAGACCAAGGTTCATCCAGTTTGTGTTTCCCAAACTATATTCTGTATCCCAAGATAGTATTTCCTTAAATAAATCTATGTAATTTGTTCTTCAAAGAATCAACACTTTCTGCTTCCACCGTCTCCCGAGGGAGCCTGATCCATACTCGCTCACTGAAGTAGTTTTTCTGCAGATTTGTTTTGAATCCCCCCCCCCCACTTCAATCGCAAGCCATGTCCTCTGGTTCTACTGATCAGTAGAAGATAAACAGCTTATCATAGTCTACATTATCTAACCCCTTCAGAATCTTAAAGACCACAATCATATCGCACCTCAACCTTCTCTTCTCCAGTGTGAACATGCCCAGTTTACCTTACCACTATTTTGCCCCCCCCCCCCCCCACAAAATACACAGTCAATCTACTTCACAATATATTGGGGAGGACAAGTTTTCAGGGCTGTGGGAAGAGTGGGATTGAATTGGATAGCTCTTTTCAAAGAGCCGGCACATACACAATAAGCCGAATGGCCTCCTTGTGTGCTGTATAATTCCATGATTCTACGATAGTCTGTGAAGCACCTTGTCTCAACAACGTGATAAGGCCCGATATTAAATGCAAGAATTATTATTAGCAAAGTAAAATGTCCTTTTTGATTTCAATGTTCCCATTTGATTGTTATTGGATGCAAAACGAAGACGACAAATTGTGAATTTGAGACATTTATTTCCTCACTCTTTCCCCCACCACCACCCATTCTCCCCTCTACAGATGTGCCGAGCACAACAGCTACTGGAACTATTGTTCTTCGAGTAGAAGACACCAATGACAATATTCCGATCATTAAGAACTTGCAGCCATGCATATGCGACAACACAAAATCTTTGAGCGTCACCGCTTTCGATCCCGACCAGTCACCATTCGGTGCTCCATTTAAGTTTACAGTGCTCGACGGCAATTGGAAGATCGGAAAAACAGAAGGTAAGACGGGAGAATCGAATTTACTTGGACATTATAGCAGTAAATCAGCGTAACTTGGCATTTCTGATTCTAAATGTAATGGTACTGAGTGACTTCAATTCTAGGACAATGCTGATGACAGCACAGTCACTGGGGGCGGGGAATCCACCCACTCAGCTCCTGCTAACCCTGCAAACCAAAGCTCTAACATGTAGGGTGGTCCTAGCTGGACCAGCAGCTGGAAAGCTTGCCAGTCAGCGATATCAATGGCAAGCTATGTGGTTTTAGCTGGTTAAACACCAGCAGTTACCCCAACGCACACTCTGGGGGCCCCAAGCCTCGGCTCTCTCCAACCTGCGCCTAATACTTTCCGGAATTCGGTAAACAGGATGTGTCCCTCCAGGGAGAGAGATCGCATTCCATTCCAACAATCTATCTCTGGGATTTCTGTGTGTAGGTGGGAGGCAGGGAATTCTCAGCTCGGTTTGGATACTCTTAAGCACGGTGATGGCTTTCCGCATGTGGCAGAAACCCGGCTCATCAAAAAAAATAAAAAATCTATCCACTTCGCTTTCAAAAGAATCTGTGCTTCATTGTGGTTTTGAACTGCATTATTTTATTTCCTGTTTTACTGCACCTTGCAGTTGAAATAAGATATTGTTAAATGTAGTTATTGTAGAACAATACAATATGAGTTTCCTAAAGTGATACAGAATGCACTTGGTCCATTGGGTCCAACTAGTCTGTGCCAATGTTTATACACTTAAGTACATTGATGCTATTCATTTCAACCACAGCTCTTGGCAGTGAATTCCTCATTCATACCACCCTTTGGGTATAGAAGGTCCTCCGATTAGTGGAGTCCAGTAGCATAGTGGATAGCACGGTCGCCTCACAAACAAGAGGACCCGGGTTCGATTCCTGGGCGGGGCAAAGCTTTAGGCAAGTTTCCTTACACCACACGCCTCTGTTTACCTAGCATTGAAAAACCTGGTTGTTAGTCAATTGGAGTATCGTTCTCTGTGGGTAATAATCCCTCCCCTTCCAAAATAATTTTGTCACTTAATCCAACTGTTGTGCGCGATTGGCTGACACATTTTGCAAAAAATACAGTGAATTCATCAACCAAAAATTAAATTTGTACAGCGCCTTTCACGTTGGGAGGACATCCCAAGGCGCTGGACAATCAGGATTTGGACTCGAGCTGGAGGTTGGGATCAGGAGGTGTGGTGTAGGGTGACCAAAGGCGTGGTCGAAGAATCTTGATACGTGCCTTGAAGGAGGCCGGAGGGAGCAAGCCGAAGGGACTGTGGGATGGAGTTCCAAAGGGTGGGGGTAGATAGGCTGATATATATTCACTCTACAATATATTCTGTGAAGCGCTTTGAGACATGAGACATGAGACATCCCAACGACATGGTAAAGTGGTATATCAAATGCAAGGATTAGTATTATTATTTTAACACAATGGTGGAATGTTTCATCAAGTAGCTGCATATGTTAAAATGGATGATAATGATGTCTGTCAGAGGCAGAGAATTTCACTCTCCCCTGCACAGAGATCTTTCTCGCTAACCTGCCCTTTAAGTTTGTGCTCTTCACGTGGGGTAGCTGATACAGAATAAATACCCAATATATAAAAATATTCAATATACCCCAAATAATAGATACCCAATGTATAACAATACCCAACATATAATAATTATCCATTGTTACCCATGATATAATAATTACCCAATACATAATAAATACCCAATATATATCCAATGTAAAAATATCCATTATATAAATACCCCAAATATAATAAATACCAAATGTTTAGTAAATACCAGCTGTATACAAAATGCTCCAAATAAATATACCTGATATATAATTATTAGTAATGTATAATAAATACTCACTATGTAATAGATATATATGATGTAATAATAAATACCAGATATATAAATCCCGATGTGTAATAAATACTCTATGTAATAAATATCTCATATAATAAACACCCAATGTATAAAATTACCCACACTAAGCTCAGCACAACCCATCACCCCAATACTCACCAGGCTCCATTGGCTCCCTGTATCCAAACAAATTGTGACATTATGTTCTTATGTTAAATCATCGACTGCAGCCTCACACTTACTCAGTAACAGTAGTGATCCAAGCTCCATGAGGCCGATAGCCAAAGCCCCAAGCACCGCTCTGCCACTCAGTTTGGTCAGAGAACAGTCTGGATCATCACCCCCCCATATAAATCCCTTCATGCGCTCGTATCGCCCTATCCCTCTGACCTACTCATACTCCAGTCCTTTACCCGGACCCTCTGCTCAGCTGACACAGGCCTGCTACATTACCGCCCACCCCCCCCCATCTCTTACTCACTGCCGTTGATGGCCGAACCTTTCCGGGTAATAATCCCTTTTAAAAAAAAATGTGGTCAACTCAATCCACAATTGGCTGCCGCGTTTCGCCCACAAAATACACAGTCAATTCACTTTACAGTATATTATGTGAAGCGCTTTGAGACGTCTCAGCGACGTGATAAGATGCTATATCAAATCTAACGATTATTATTATTATAAACGCAAGTTTTTGGTGTTGACATTCAATGCAACTAACTATTTCCTTATCTCTCCCTCTCTCTCTCTCCTCTTTTTCTTGTGTTAAAGGTAATACTGCCGAGCTACAGTCGCTCAAGGAGCTGTGGCCAGGTACTTTTAAATTGCCAGTGAAGGTTGAAGATAACCAAGGGAGTGGGGAAGTACACAACCTTGACGTAAAGGTGGTTGAATGCACCAAGAAGCAGCCCGACTGTTCTCTGACCAAACTGGGTGGCGGAGCTGTGCTTGGAGCTTCGGCTATCGGCCTCATGGTTCTTGGATCATTATTGTTGCTGCGTAAGTGTGAGGCTGCGGTCGATGATTTAACATAAGGACATACGAAATGCTAGACAAAAAAAAAAGACCAAGGTCCATCATGTTAGCTTTCCACCTTCCTGGCGGTCACACGCACATATGTCCCGAACTACCTGTGTGCTAGATCCCATAATATTATTTCCTATAAGAACATAAGAAATGCTCGATGAAAAAACAGACCAAGGTCCACCTGGTTCGATTTTAGTGGTGACTTATTGGCCCTGAAGTTGGCTGCTTGCTGGCCTTGGAAGCTAAAGTGGCCGACTCCCATGCCATGAGATCGATGACCCTTCCTCTTTTGCCTCGAGGGGCAGCAAAACAGGAAATGACATGGATGTGATAACCTCATGTCATGTTATTATCACCAGAGCAGAGCTCGGGAATAAAGGCTCCTCACTGAAGCTTTGACAATCCATTACCATGACAGTCAGTCTGGATAATAATAATAATATAATAATCCTTCCATCCTTGCAATTTTTTAAAAAAATGCGGTCACTCAATCCACAACTGTTTGTGGTACACTGCTGGGCGCAATTGGCTGCCGTGTTTTACCCACAAAATACACAGATAATCCACTCTACAATGTATTCTGCGAAGAGCTTTGAAACGTTTCAACGACGTGATAAGGCACAATATCAAATGGAAGGATTATTATGATATTATTATTATTTTAAGAGCAGGAGTATCGCCTGAGGTGTAGGCTTTGGCTGAAAGCACATTAATACAGGTTGCCAATCAGTTGGTAGTACCTTCACCTGAGTCAGAAAGTCATGGGTTCAAATCCCATGTTCGGACTTTGTGAGATCAGTCTAGAACCGACTCTCCGTTCAGTGCTGGGGTGGGGGCTGCATTTTCTGAGTGCCATCCTTCAGGTGACTTGTTAAACCGAGGTCCCGTTCAGGTGAACATTAAACCGTCCTAGGGCACTATTTTAAAAGAGAAGGGAGTTTCTGTTTCCTGATATCCTGACCAAAAATCCCCCAAATTGGTTATTTCACTTCAAGGCTGTTTGTAAGACATTGTTAAGTGCAAACAAACTGACTGCTGCATTTGCACACAATTAAGTCACTGCATTTTACAGTAAATCCCAAATGTGCTTTGAGATGTCTTCCAGAATTGAAAATGGGGTATGTAAAGTGATTAATAATATTAATAATAATCCTTGCATTTGATATAGCGCCCTATTACATTGTTGAGATGTCTCAAAGTGCTTCACGGAATATACTGTAAAGTGAATTTGACTCAGCCAATTGCGCACATCAATGTCCCCCAAACAATCGTGGACTGAGTCATTTTTTTTGTGTGGGAGGGATTATTACCCGCCGAAAGCGATCTGCCAATGGACTAACAACTGGGTTCCTTGTTACTGCTAGGTAAACAGAGGGGTGTGGAGTAAGGAAATTTGTCTTGCCCCGGTTTTGCCCTGTCTGGGAATCAAACTTGGGTCCTCTCGGTTGCATGGCAAGTGCTCTAACCACTACACTCCAAGACTCCACTCACTTGTTGGGTTTGTTGTTGGGGAGTGACAGCCTAGACTACTTGATTTCAATCAGGACTCTTTTGTGTACGGTTCCAAAAGCTAATAAATAATTATCATCATTAATGATTATTAGCTTTGAGAGCAATAGATTGGGTTAACTTTATCCTTAGGGATTTGAAAAGACGTTAACTTTCTAACCGCTTTTCTCTTCCACAGTCGTTCCTCTCTTAATGCTATTCTGCAACTTTGGAGGAGGGGGCATTGGTGGGAAAGGTGCCTTCATGCCCATACCTGATGAGACTCCTACTTATCTGGACAGCAACAATATTGAAGGTGGAGGAGAGGCTGACACAACAGTACGTATTTGAAAATAATTATTGCTTACTTTAAGCCCACCGGAAACTGGTGTTTCATGCAGGAGTATGTGGCTCAGTTGAATTAGAAGGTTGTGAGTTCAAGCCCCTACGCCAGGACTTGGAATCACACAGTCTAAGCTGACATGCCAGTGAAGTGCTGGGGGTGTTTTGCATTGTTATGGGGTGTTGTCCTTGGTTTGACAGCACATTAAACCGAAGTCCCATCTGCCTGTTCAGGTGGACATTAAAGATTCCATGGCTCCATCCTTGGCCCCCTTCTTTTCATCATTCATACACTCCTTCTCGGTGATGTCATCCACAGACATGGGGTCAACTTCCACATGTATGTGGATGACACCCACATTTACTTCTCCTCCAGCTGCGGCTCCCAGTCCACTTATATCCTGTCAGCTTATCTGACAGACGTCAAGGCCTGGATGAGCGCAAATTTCCTGCAGCTGAATGTCGGAAAGACGGAAGCCATACTCTTTGGCTCCTGTCAACATCTTCTTTCTTGCGGGTCCGAACTACTCAACCTCCCTGGGCTCTACCTCAGACTCACCGAACCCATGTGCAATCTAGGTGTCAGGTTCGATCCCCAGCTTTCCTTTCTCCCCCACATCCATTTCCTGACCAGGAACGCATTTTTCCACCTCTGCCACATTGCCCACCTCTCTCCGTACCTCACATCCACAGCAGTCGAAACCCTCGTTCATGTTTTTGTCACTTCCTGGCTGGACTTTTCAAACGCTCTCCTCGCTGGCCTCCTCAGTTCCACCAAACACAAAATACAATCAATTCAGAACTCCACTGCCCAGACACTAACACGCACAAAACTCCGGACCCCATCGCACCTGTCCTTGCCAGGCTGCGCTGGCTCCCGATTACTGTACAGATTGACTTCAAGATCCTCTTTCTCGTTTTCAAATCCCTTCATGCCCTCGCATCTCCCTACCTTACCAACTTGCTGACATCACCACTTCCACCACTCGCTGCCTCCGCTCGGCAGACTCCAGCCTCCTGTTTGTCCCTCGCCCCCTCGGCTCCACCATCAGCGTCCGTGCTTTCAGTCACTAAGCTCTGAAGTTATGGAACTCTCTCCCAATCTCTCCGCCTTGCCCCCGCTCTCCCCACTTTCAAATCTCACCTGAAGAACTTTCTTTTTGAATGTCCTTACGGTCACCTCCCCATTCCCTCTCCCCCTGGCTCGGTGTCAGACTCCACCACTGTTAAGCATGCCAGGACTCTATCCTGCATGAAGGGCGCTGTATAAATGCATGTTGCTGTTGTTGTAATCAATACTAATAATTTATTAGAGTATGATAATAATGTATTATTTAAAATAATAAATGCACTTCCATTGATTATGAGCATTAACCTGTCTCTTTCTCTAGGATGCGGCACTGATTCCAAACCCGATTAGCATTAAATCGGGAAGTGCAGCCCTCGGTCCTTCAGCTCCAAGCATGTCCGGAGGTGCCTATGGGCTGGCAGGTGAAGGCATTTCGACCATCAGGAATTCAGGAATGAATACATTCGGAATGCCTCCGGAAGGATACCTTGTGGAAGCTGGAGGCGCAGATTTGGACTATTCCCGATCAAGAATGGGTTCTGGATACGGTGTGCATCGATTATCAAACGGCTTCAATACTGTAAATGTGATGGAGTCCATACCAGTTCAGGCCAATCCCATCGTCTACGCCTCACTTTCCAACAAGGCAAGGAGAGAAAGCACCCACAGAGCTTACATGGAGAATTACATTGATGAGGTACAGTACGGTTGACTTTACAAAACTTTTTTAACTAAGTGCATTCTGAAAATTGAAGCCTTTCAAGCTCTCCGCAGCCTTGCCCCACCCCCCTTACCTCTGCGACCTGCTGACCCCATATCAACCTGTCCGCTCCATCCGCTCCATCCGCTCAGCAGGCCCAGGCTGCTCCATGTCCCCCGCCCAGCCCGCCCCACCGTTGGCAGTCGGGCCTTCAGCCTTTGTGCCCCCATTCTTTGGAACTCCATCTCACATTCCATTTGCCTCGCTTCTTCCCTTACCTCCTTCAAGAACGTGTCTCAAAACTCTCCTATTCGGCCACCCTCCTACCCACCAGCATCCCGAATCCCAACCCCCAGCTCGGGTTCAAATCCCTGACTGTCCAGCGCCTTGGGACATCCTCTCAATGTGAAAGGCGTTCCACAGATGTAATTTATCATTGCAATTTTAATTCTCTTTTGCTCACAGAAACTGAATGACTATTGTGTGGAGGAGGAATCCCGGCCAGCACGTGACTGTCTGCTGGTTTATAGCTTTGAAGGAGATGGTTCTCCAGTTGGCTCCATTGGCAGCTGCAGCTTCATTGAGAAAGAAGCCGAGGAAGGAGACTCCTTTTTGAACGACTTGGGACCAAAGTTTAAGACCTTGGCTGACATCTGTAATGGTAGGTTTGAGGGCGAGACCTCAGATCTTGCCGTCGAAACTTTGATCCAAGAAAACTTGTCGCCGAGGCCCGTTTTGTCTGGCGCTCTGGAAGGCATGAGTATGATTACCAATCCACAAGCTGTCCACACGAGTATGGTGCGTGAAGGAGGGATGCAGATGATGAACACAGGAGGGATGCAAGGAATGAACATGGCCTCAAGTCCATCAGTTCTCCAAAACAACATTGTTGTGACCACAACAATTAGCCCTGGCATAGAGGACATGACCATGACACCCGATCCCTCGTTTGCTCAGAGAAACCTCACGCTGACCAAATCAGTCAATCTGGGTTCAGTGGAGAAGCAAGGAATGAGCACCAACGTAGCATTAGCCCAGCCGCCCAACATCCAGAAAAATGTCATCCGGTCTAAGTCGATTAGTTCTGCTGGAGGAGGGATTCAAACCATGAATGTTGTGTCTGATCCAATGGTTCTCCAGAAGGGCTTTGCGATGAGGTCAGGTACCTTTGGCGGTGAAGGTATGCAAGCTATGAATGCCATGGTTGATCCAACATTTGTCCAGAGTGGCTTCAGGGTGAATTCAGGTACCTTTGGCATTGACGGGATGCAAGCCATCAATGGCGGTTCACCATCCGTTGCAAAAAACGTCACCTACACCAAAATGACCAGCTCAGGACAGATGCATGATATGAACTCCCCAACGATGATGACATTTATGCAATCCGGCGGTAGGGCACCCGGTGGATCAGTGACAAAAGTAACGAAAACTGTTCAGCTAATAGAACAATAGACTTTCCACACACGATTGCAGGTCTCAGACGCTCATCCAGAGGAGTGTGCAGACATATCTGGACTTCCAGTTAAGTATAATTATAAGACTAGCATTTTTATTTCTTTCCACGTATTAGATTGTACAGCTTTTTTGTTTGTATTGAGAATGCGTTTCATTTCCATGGGTTGAGCACAGCCCAGCCTGGCTCATTGGCAAGACCTGGAAGGGCAGACCAGTCACTGGGAACAGAGTCATCCCACTCAGCTCCTGTTAACCCTGCAAGCCAAAGCTCAACAGGTAGGGTGGTTCTAGCTGGACAAGAAGTGGGAAAGCTTGCCAAATAGTGATATCAATGGCAAGCTAAGCAGCTTTAGCTGGTTAGACTCCAGGATTACCCCCAACGACCCCAACACACACTCTGGGGTCCCCAAGCCTTGGCTCTTGCCAACCTGCTCCTAATACTTTCTGGAATTAGGTAAACAGGATGGGTCCTTCCAGGGAGGGAGGGTGCACTTCATTCCAACAATCTATCTCTGGAATTTCCACATGTAAGTGGGATGTATGGTATTCTCAGTTGGGTTTGGGTACTCTTAAGCATGGTGATGGGTTTCCGCATGTGTCAGACACCCGCTGATCCCCCCAAAAATGGGTTGAGTTTACTGTATGATAGCCTTTCACCGATGTGCATTTGCATTTAGGTTTTAGAATGTAATATTGTGAAGGTTAATAATGTCTTTTTGTAATCCGGCATGTACTCGTACAATTGTAGAGTTAGAGAAAAAAGGCCAACTAACTTTTTTTGGCTTTTGATTTTGATTATTAACTTTTTGTATATCAATGGGGATTTTTATCTACCTTAGGAACTGTCTGGCTAACAGAATCAATGGGTCTATTTGACATATTTTCACATCACTTCTCAATAATAGTGATGACATAATAATAATAATAATGATAATAATAATAATAATAACAATTGGAACCTGGTGGATTGGCGGATCGCTTCCAGGGGGTTATAATCCCTTCAAAAAAATCATAATAATAATTGAGGTTGTAATCCCTTCAAAAAAAATTATAATTATTATAATAATTTATTCACTCAATCCACAACTGTTTGTGGGACACTACTGTGCGCAATTGGCTGCCGTGTTTTGCCCACATATACGCAGTCAATTCACTTTACAGTATATCCTGTGAAGCGCTTTGAGACATCTCAACAATGTGATAAGGCGCTACATCAAATGCAAGGATTATTACTATTATTATTATGATCTTCGGCATTGTACACTTTATAATGGGATTACATAGGAACAGGAGTAGGTCATTCAGCCCCACGTGCCTTTTCTGTCATTCTATAAGATCATGGCTGATCTGTACCTCAATTCCAATTACCCCCTTTGCCCCTTTGCCCCATACCCCTTGATACCCTGCCCTAACAAATATCTATCCACCTCAGTTTTGAAAATTTGAATGGGTCCAGCATCCACAGTCTTTTGGGGGAGAGAGTTCCAGATTTCCACTACTCTTTGGGTGAAAACATGCTTCCTGATTTCCTTTCAAATTGCCTAGTTCTAATTTTAAGACGATGCCACCTTGTTCTGGATTCCTCTACCAGGGGAAATAGTTTCTATCCTATCGAATCCCTTTATTATTTAAAAAAAAACCTCAATTAGATCACCCTCAACCTTCTAAACTCAAGGGAATTTCGACCAAGTTTATGCAACCAGTCCTCATAATTTAACCCTCTAGTTTTTCCCATTATAATACAATACAAAATTACATTTGTATAGCGCTTTTCATGTCGGGAGGACATCCCAAGGTGCTGGACAATCAGGGATTTGGACCCAAGCAGAGGGGGAATCAGGAGAGGGCGGAAGGCCAGGGAGGGTGGCCAAAGGCACGGTCAAAGAAGAGGATCTTGAGACGTGCCTTGAGGCAAGGGAGGGGGCGAGGCGAATGTGGGATGGAGTTCCAAAGGTGGGGGCAGAGAGGCTAAGGTTAGGGTCAGGAACACCATGGTACAATAACCTACAAAGAATTTTAGTTGGTCAGAAGTGCTAACATGTTTTTTTGTTGTTTGATTGATTCTATTTTCTGCATTAAACAGTTGTTTTGACATTTCATTTTAGTTTAAGAGTAGTGAGAGTGGACACATTATTTCTTGCAAAGCAATTTACGGTGTTATGTTTATGCCTGTATGAATAATGATGCTCCAATATAGTAATGGTCCATTAAATAAAATTATTCATTTTGGGTTAAACCCTTGCAGTGAGTTGCATTCTTACTTAAATGCAGGTGATGCACAGCTTTGTTTCTACAAGTATAATACAAATTTACATTCAGAATTCTAGTGCCTTTCATGTCAGTAGGATGTGCCAATGCACTTGAATTGAATGCAAAAATCACTTGCATCTCTAATGGCTCCATTTGCAAACTACAATTTTTTGTGTATTGCAATCATTGTTATGATGCAACTTTGACTGGGTGAAAAAAAATCTACCCCAATGTCCTGTGAAGATTTCAGATTAAGTATTTTGTCCGCTTAAACAAATTTTCTACAATATTCCAGTATTGACAACTTAAAACAGAATTGCTGGTCAGCAGATCCAATCAATCACTTGAGCCGAGGTTTTAGCTGGGTTAGACTCCAGCAGTTACCCCAACGCACACTCTAGGGTCCCCAAGCCTTGGCTCTTGCCAACTTGCGCCTTATACTTTCCAGAATGAGGAAACAGGATGCAATACTCCAGAGTGCATATTCCATTCGAACAATCTATTTTGCTCACAAAATAACATACTCAACCCATTTTACAGTATATTCTGTGAAGCACTTTGAGGTGTCTCAAAGACATGAAAAGGCACTACAACAAATGTAAGGATTATTATTATTATCTCTGGAATTTCCATGTGCATGGAATTCTCAGTTTCAGTTTGGATACTCATAAGCATGATGATGGGTTTCCGCATGTGTCAGATACCCGGCTGAGCAAAAAAAAGATTTCAATCAATTGATCAATTGATCGATCGAGCCAGTCAGAGAAGAATGGATGAAGAAAGCCCTTTGGCCAATTTCGTCTCAGCTTTCCAGAATGCCCACCCTACAGTCTTCCCATTTAAAGCAACATAAACTGCCTGATCTCAATAACAATCAAGGAACCCTGGTGTCTTGTTTGATCCTCAACTGTCCTTCGAACCCCACATCCATGCCATGACCCGCTCTGCCTTCCCCCACCTCCTCAACATTGCCCGGTTTCACTACTGCTTCTCTCCTCAGACTGCCTAAACCCTCATTAACACATTCATCATATCCAGGCTTGAATATGTCAACTCCTTGCTTGTCGATCTTCCCAACTCTAAGCTGCAGATCATTGAGAACTCTACAACTCATGTCCTCTCCCGCACCAAGCTCCGAGACCCTATCACCCCTAGCCTCGTGCGGCTCCACTGGTACCTCATTCCCAAGAGGGTAGTTTAAAAAACCTCATCCTCGCTTTCAAAGCCCTCCACAGCCTTGCTCCTCCCACCTCCGTGACCTAACCCCATACCTGTCCACTCCCTCCGCTTGGCAGACTCTGGCCTGTTCCACATCGCCCACCCTGCCTGCCCCACCATCGGTGGTCGGGCCTTCAGCCTTTCTGCCCCACCCTTTGGAACTCCATCCCACAGATCCTTTACTTCGCTCTTTTCCTTGCCTCCTTCAAGCCCCGTCTCAAGATCTCCTGACCCCAACCCTCAGCTCGGGTCCAAATCCTTGACCGTCCACTGCCTTGGGACGTCCTTCCGACATGAAAGGTGTGATACAAATGTAATTTGTTGTTGTGAAAACATCATCATTTTGTCCCACTTCACATCTCTGCAGCATAAAAAACTACCCATTTCCCTCCACAGATAATGTCTTGCTGCTTTCTCCCCCAAACCAACTGTAGCATTGCAGAAATGATTGTGTCCCACAAAATATGTTCCTCGGGTCAACACCTCTCCTTATGTGCTCCAACACTGTGCTCAGGCTGATACTTACTCCTTTTCATTTTAAAGTCAATTATCGCACTATCACCTTTTAATTGGGAGTCTCTTCTGGATAGATATGAGGTGGATAACTGACCACTGATCCATCAAGCAGTCACCTGCATCTGGGATATGTGGAGTCCTGTAGTGTATTGGTTAGGGCACTTGCCTCACAAGTGAGAGGACCTGGGTTTGATTCCCAGGCAGGGCGAAACCTTAGGCAAGTTTCCGTCCTCCACACGTCTCTCAAATGTCATTTGTTGTTGTTTACCTAACAGAAGTTTGTTAGTCGATTGGCAGATCACTTTCTGAGGGCAATAATCCTTTTAAAAAAAAATCTATACAGATATATAAATAATTTGGTCACTCAATCCATGATTGTTTGCAGGACACCGCCGTGCGCAATTGGCTGCCACGTTTCGCAAACAAAATACACGGTCATCCCACTTTGCAGTGTATTCTTTGAGACGTTTCAACGACATAATAAGGCGCTGTATCAAATGCAAGGATTATTATATAAACATGGAATTACAAGCAAGTCAGCCACACTGACAATGTGCATTACAACAACAAATTACATTTGTATTGTGCCTTTTACGTTGGGAGGATGTCCCAAGGCACTGGTAAATAGCATTATCATACAGATAGTGAGGGATCAACATGTCTTCCTAATACTGTTCTTAGTTATTCGCATGTAAACTGTTTGGAGATATGGTAACATCTAAAGGCTGAAAAATCCTCAATCGGCAAAATAATCAGACTGGGTCAAATAACTATTTGTGGAACATTGCTGTACAATTGGCTGCTGGGTTTCGCCCACAAATGATCCACTTGACAATTCACCGTGTATTTCGTAGGCAAAACACAGCAACTAATTGCGCTCCCACAAACCCAGTGTCCCACAAACAGTCATGGATTGAGTGACCGTAATTCTTTTTTAAGGGATTATTATCCCGGGAAAGTGATCCATCAATCAAATAGCAACCGGGTTCCTACTTACTGCTGGATAAATAGAGGCGTGTGGAGTCAGGAAAACTTGCCAAAAGTTTCGCCCAGTGTGGGAAATGAACCAGGGGTCCTCGGAGTGCTCTAACCAATAGGCTACAGGACTCCACAATTATTACTGTTTGGGAGGAAATGTGGAAGACAGGTCTTGTTGTAACACATACCAAATTCCATATGTCGTTTTCCTTTTCGTGCAAAACACCCAAATGTCATTTG